ACCCTATTGCACTCTCCAAACCGATGCCTTAATATCAATGTAAAGTTTTGCACGTCTTAAACTCAATGTCTGGCTATTCATATGTTTGAATGCATCGCGATCGATGTAAAGAACATGGTCTCGATGAATAAGAAAATATCGCCAACGGTGATGAGCTTGAATAAAACTATGTCGTGAGTCAAATATCGCCGCTTTACGATGAAAAATGCAATGAGTCTCTGTTTTTTTACTCGGCACAACTCTATTTCTCAGATGAGATGAGAGGCATCATGATTTACCTCAAATGCGATATTAAAATTAGGCATGCCCGCCTTTGTAGCGGTGGGATTTCATCTATAACCTTCACCTTTTAAGCACGTCGTGGTGAGTGGCACCATAATGGTGCTGAAATTTCAAATGAACCAAACTATAGAAGGAGGCAAGTACATAGGAACTTCGTATTTCAGACATGGCTTTAGGTATGCCCAATCAACCATTGCCTTAACATTATCCGGTCCTTAACACTATTCAGAAACCAAAAATAGCAATACATTTTTTGGATCTGGATCGTCTTTTTATGCGTTTATAGATCTGCTTGATTTAAACTATTTTTTAAGTTTACAATTTTCTAATCGGATGTGACACTAAATTTTCGGGTCATCCTAAAAATTTTGGACATCCAAATTGCATCTTATGACAATTTGGCCTTACTTTGATTGTTCAAGGCTGGAACCTTATACAAACCACACCCTTTTCCTTTTATGATAGGTTAATGGTGGGATTGAAGGATCGGTGAGACATTCCCTTAATGGTGAGATACGAATGGGGAATTCATTTGAGGAATTGAGTGTAGATGAACAGGTGGATCAGTTCAATCCATAGCGCTTTCTTGGACTACAAACCTTACAGATCCGTACCGGTGGTATTTTAGGGTTATAAAAGGGTAGAAATCGGTATGCACGTAAATTATTAAAAAATTTGAGAAATTTTTGTAATATGAAAATTTTAGGAGAATTTTAGCCATAATTTCCCAAACTTTCAAAATAATGTAAGTGATGATTTCCCAAACTTCGACCCGTATCATTAGGGTGGAGAAATAATAATAATAATAATAAGTGTTTCTAGATGAGCCCTAAAACATAGACATAAATTATAAAGCAACCACTAAAAATTGAAGTAACTTTCGCTTCTAAGAGAGTTTGGTCAGAGATGACCCAGTTGATAACTAGGCTGGGCTCCAACTAGAGACAGGCCCATTTAAGCACGGGGCAGCCTGGCCTGTCCCGATTCGTTCCACAGTTCAAGACAATGTTTCAAAAAATAGGTCTGTGATGGAGATCACTATCCAGAAAACCGGTCTAGTTTGGCGGATGGGTAGTTTAGATTGGCGATCTAGCTGAGTGAACTGACCAATAAAAACCAATAAAAAAAAAATAGAGAATAAGTAACAAAATTTGCAAAAGTTTTAAAAATAAAAGGTCGGCAAGCCAATATTTTGGCAAAATCAGACTGGTCCATCAGTTCCCAATCCGAACCAATTAGTTCTGGTCAAATTCGCCGCTTTTTTAAACACTGTTTTAGAGCATTTATGGGTTTCTTTTTCTTTTTCTTTTTCTCTTTTTGTTTTTTGGGAAAATGGCATTAGTTGGATTCAACCATCTATTGGGAGTAATAAATTTGTCCATTTAGAGCATTGGTTCTTATTTTTAGATTCAACCCTCTAAGCACTATCAGACTTGGCCATGGCTTGCTAAACGTTCATTGCATTTTTCTTATTTTTTATTTTTGAGAAGCACGTAGTGGTTGGTTGGTTTTTAAAGATTTATGCATGATACAAGATGGATGATTTATTATTTATTTGTCCAAATTTATGATCTTAAATAGAATTTTTCATCCAAAATTCATCTCCAATAGTGATTTGGAAGACCGACTTGCAAGAGTAGGTGCGTCCAACCCTGCCCATTTCATAGTAGCCTTAAATTAAATACAATGTCCTGTGCATTTATTGTAAGGTTTGGATTTCGAAAATCAAAACTTACTACTCACAAGATCTTTTTCCTTTACTTTTTTTTTTTTCTTTTTAACAAGAGCATGAGTAGCATATTCTTGTAGGATTACACTATATGCTTACTCCCTCGGCCAAAAGAGTTACTTGGGATGATTTTTTATCTTAAATTGTGGACATTTTTTCAATCTGAAATTTTAAGACCCACTTTAGAACCACCAAATGAGCATTCTAACAAACAAAAAGAAAAGAGTTTCGAGTTCCCAAATATTTAAGTGTTAAACCATCCATTATTTGGAAATATCCTATTCAATCTTTTAACATTTTTTTCAAGCACATCTAATTTGCGTTTTACAACAAGCGTACGCATGAGGTCGGTCATGTGTCTAGGAGGTTACCGAACGAAAAACGTACTCCTAAATAGGATGTTAGCCAAGGGAGTGAATCTACAATATGCTCCCATAGAAGCACATAATCATTAGGCAAAAAATGGAAATGTGTATTTATATTATAGAGTAACGAAAATTGTTTAATGCGGGCTGGATCGCATTTCTACATATGCCGTCCAGAAAGGGTTAAGCATCCATCTAAAAGATGGATACAAGTAGGTATTCCATCTAAAAATAATAGAAACTAACGGTCCAAATGTTTTTTTTATTAGAATTATTATTTCTAGTGTTTAAATTTTATTTATATTTTCATATTCATGATAGATATTACATGTTTTTAAAAATTAAGTCTTAAAATCCATCTCACAAATAGATTTATTAAAAGGCCCACATTTCTACATATGCCGGCTTGGCCGCATGGAAACTAGGTCTAGATAGTAATCCAAATTGTAACTTTTACCAAGTTGCAACTAAGAAGGTCAGTACAAGCAATAAATATGTTGTAGAGTAGTTTCCCACCCACTTTCTTAAAAAACAAAGGTAAATTCATCAAAATACAACTTGCATTTATTTAATATGTGAAAAGTAGTCTATGAGTCCAGGGATGCATTTCTACAATTGTATACCCCAAGGTATTAAAATCCATCTTTATAATGGATGTAAATGTGTGGTCCCTCCTAAAAAGGATAGAATCTAATGGTTCAAAACATTTCTCCAAAAAATTATCATTTTTAAATTTTAAATTTTTTGTTCTCTATATATATTAATGGTTTCCATGTTAAAGATTATCTATATCTAAAAGAATTACGTCCAAACTCGATCTAAAAAATTGATAAAAAAGAGGGGTTGCATATCTATAAATGAGTCTTAGGACTCATAGAAAACTTGTTCTTGAACATTTTACCTTTTTTATACTATTCCAACCCAAAGTGATGTGTATTTTGAAAGGTATTTTGAAATTCAACCAAACCACATAGAAATATGTAAAATAGTGAACTTCTTCCATGTAACCTCACCCAAATATATAGTCCAAGTAACCCATGATCTCAGCTATCAAAGCTTAGTAGATGGTTGAGATGGCTTGAGTCAAGCTTAGTAGATGGTTGAGTTGGCTTGAGTCACAATGTTACAAGCTGGCTCTTGAGCTACACATCTTGATATGATGGCTTAAAATGTTTTATCTTTAATTTTAATTCTATAAATCGTTTTGCATCGAGATTTGGGGCATGCATATATCTGACAGGCGTAGGGGTGTACATGATAAAAATAATAAAAAATATTTTATGTGATGAAATATTATTTTGGTTATATATATATATATATATATATATA